GCCAATCTTGGAGGAACACTGCACTTCGAGGGTGCAAAACATAGCCCGAAGTTACGGACAGTCAGTGCGAATCTGTCCCGTGCAGCTTGACACTTTGGTAAGTTGTCACAGATGAGGACAATATCATCAGCAAGTCAAGAAGTCGTTCGCCTGGGAGCAGATCCACACCTAAGTCTGTCCTGTGAACGCGATTCCCATGACTTCGTCAATAGCGAAGTTGACGAGGAAAGGTGACAGCGGGCATCCTTGCCTTACACCGCTTGGGATATGGAAAGGCCGCGACAGCTCGCCCTAAGCCCTCACTCTGCCTGAGCTACGTGCGTAAACCGCTCGGATAATATTTACATATTTCTCGAGCAGACCTTTCCTGACTAGACAGTCTCAAATGGCACATCGATCAGCCGAGTCGAAGGCAACTTTGGTATCGAGGAGCACGACAATGGTGTGCCGCCAATATATGTAACGGTGCTCCAGCAATTGTCGCAAAGTGAAGATGTGATAGATGCAGCCGTGACCTCAACGAAACCAGGTTTGCTCTTCATGAATCTGGCTTTCATGAGTGCCAGTCAATCTGTGAAGAATGACAGAGACAAGGAATTTGGTGTCAATGGAGATCAGACTGTTTCCTCTATGGTCGCCGTATTCGGATCGTGAGTCTCCCTTGAAAATTGGGACTATGATGGAGCGACTCCAGTCGTTTGGGACAGATTCCTGCTCCGACGTTTTCACCAGTAACTCGTGTAAATCATCCACAAGAGCAAGTCCTCCGAATTTGAAGAAGGTTGTAGGAAGATCAACTGGTCTGGCGGATTTATTTAACATCAACAGTGCGGTCTCACGTTCGACTTCTGAGCGAGGTGAATTCCAAGGGACAGCCCAGGGAGGTAAGTGATTAGCGGCTAGCGAAAAATCACAATTCCGATTGATTAAATTGACTTTTAAAGTGTTCAACCCAACGTTTCAAACGTTTGGACAAGTTATGGATAAGCTGTACACTCTCGTCACTAGAGTTACACTAACACTCAATCTCCTGCTGCACGTTTTCCGTATCAGACGGAATAAAATACGATGATTACCAAGGACAGCCGCCATTTTCACCTCTGATGCACGAGGAGAGCAGCCGGGATTCGCGATCTCTCTTCAGGCTAACTCGGAGTTTCGCCTGGAGTTTTCGGCGTGTCTCATAGTGTTCCCTTTCAGCCGGAATTCACCGGCGACCATCGATAAGTTCCAGAGACTGCGAAGAGACACAATGTCCATGTTGGCGATTACACTTACCACATGAGGATTCTCCTGCTGTTAGTAAGGTCTGACGAAGATGAGACCAGTGAACGCTTATTCAACTCGCACGTCACCGCACTTTGGTGGGCATTCAGAACAGCAGCATTCATCAGTTGGATGGCGTCAATGCGCTCATAGCATCGTCGTGGGCGCCCGCCAAAACGCATCCGCAGGTCAGCACATACAAGTGCATGGTCGATGTCCACACATGTGCTCCGAATCGAGCGACAGTTCTGGACGCAACCTCTCCAGCGGTAACTTATCGCAATATGATTGATTTGTGTCCATAGCTGGTTCGAAGCTGTTGGGCGCCAAGTCACCCTCCGGCGGGTGCTGTGTCGGAAATTAGTGCTCGCAAGAAATAAGCAAGTATCTTCACACAAATGAAGTAACCGCTCACCGTTATCACTACGGGAGTCTACATCCAGATGTAGTTCATCAGTGGATAATTTCCCAACTTGAGCGTTCAGATCCCCAGCCAGCATTACAGTGTCTGTGCCACTTCTGTGGCGAAGGAGCTGGTTCAGTTGGCGATAGAAGTCGTCTTTTACCGAATCATCGCTATAGTTTGTGGGTGCATAGGCAGCGATGACGAATAGACACATGTTAGTACCGCGCAACTTCGAAGCTTTGGACGAGTCAGCCAATCGGACCGCACACATCCGGCTACTGAGTGGGATCCAATCAACTAGGGTAGCTTCAGCCCAGGAGCTCAGGACAATACCAATACCAGCTTGGCCGGTGCTCGAAGCTGCATCGTCACCGCATACGCGCAATGAGAAAGTGCTGCTAGTGTCACCTAAGGGAGATCGCAAAGTGAGCACAGAGCTACAGTCTTGCAGGCGGGTCTCCGATAAGCAGCAGATATCGATCGAGAGGGTCTCTAATGTTCGGGCAATTACTGCATGTTGACCGATCTGTAGCAATGTGCGTACATTGAGGCATGTCAATATGAAGGAGGATCGAGGGCCCTAAATGGAAGCCGAGGAACTGGGCTTGACCGGTTGCTTGGACATGGGCTTGTCGCCAGGGCAGGAATGACACTCCGCATTCATAGGTGAGTTGAATCTAGAAGGTAAACGCCTATCAAAGCAAGGTGGGGAGGGCCAAGAATTACAAGAATGTAGTATTTCAGTTTTTATCAGCAATCATTTAACTCACCGAGGCTTCTATTAGGTCTGTGATTAAAACGAATTAGAAGAGAATCCCGTTGTTTCTAATAACATAGACGTCCACCTCAAGGGTTACCATCACCCAAGGAATGTTCCTGATCACGTCTAAGATATCTAGTTAAACTCATTGGCAGGGTTGTGCTGGCAACCTGAGGCTGTTTCCCAAACGAAACCGAATTCTGTGCTAAAGCACAGAAGCGATTCCGCCCTAAAATAGATCTAATTGGGCGGATAGACGGGATTAAACGACTTTGCTATTATGGTCTGAAATCAAAGCATACCAAAATTCGACTCAGGCACCAGGTCAGTCAGCGATGACTGATATACCAATTCGGACTAACAACGTTACTGAATAAGTTGGGAAAAAATCTAACAAGTAAGAAGACCCACAGTTTGGTGCGCAACTGTGGTCCGGATAGTGTAATGTCTATCAGAGCTAATGTTTGATTGGAATCTCCCGAAAGACCGGTATCTTCGCAATTGGTAGCTGATAGTAATACGAGCAGACTGAATACGGTGTAGCGTTTTACTGGGCTGAAGACAACAGACACGATGTAAAAGATTGGTTTGGAAAGCGGTGAAGCCTGAATAACGATCGTGGTTAAGAAAAGGTTAGATTCACCACCATTATCAAAATGAGAAGTGTCGGTTACGAAACAGCTTTCTAAACGCTGCGCCATACAGACTAGGTGACTAAGTTTATTATTCACATCCCCAATCATGAAAATACGTCACTATTTCAAGCTTCATGGATGATGGACAGGGGGGTTACATATATAATTCGTTCATGAAAGCTTCCAGGTTACTTCCAACTGCAGTGTATATCGGTGAAGTAGATGGACATCAAGATTTTGGGAAGAACCTAGTAAGTATGACGGAGCGTCGAGGTTAAAATGAGTATAAGCAGCTGTTCATTACTCCACGCCGGTGTATTGTCCTCAGAGAAAGTGACATTTCCCGCAAAAGTATAGATTAATAGGAGAAAATAAACTGCGATTTAAGTTTGTTATAGAGGTCCCGAGTGAGTCTGTCCTATCTCAACCCACTTGCAGAATGGCCGAATAGGCAGCTAACAATGATTTCAGAAGTTAATTCAGCAGTTCCTGGGACAGAAGATCTTCAGCTGAACAGATATGGTATCAGCGCAATGGTGCCGTGTCAATGTGTTTGTTGTTGGAAATACCTTGCATCATCAAGCTCCCTGATACATGAAGTTGCATTGGCTCACAAGGCAGTTTTCAATCGAAATAGTATAGAAGACGGAAGATATAAGGATTGCACTAAGTAATTCCGCGGTGGGCAATGGTGGCAGTCAATACAATGAGTTACTGGTTGGGTGTCAGCACACATATAGCCAAAACATTTTAGACAGCATTGCCTGCTGAACAAACAGAGTGAAGACGTTGAAAGAGTCAATATGAAGTCGAACTCATGTCCCTAAGTAGGATCAGCTAGGATCCGTCACAAAGTCGGAAGTGCCGGTTATTCGAGGACGATATTGGTGAAGGAGAAAAAAAGGAAAAAGAGTACCAGTGAGGAAAAGTTGAAGGCATGATAGCTTTGGGGATGAGACTGGCATGCAATAAAGTGAGGCGCAATGGACGCACCGGGTAAATGGTATCAATCAACGGTCCAATCAAGTGTATTAAAGTGGATAGCAGACGGAGGAGAATAACCTAAGTCAGCAGCATTTGAGATGAAAGGTGGTGAGGCAGAAAAAGAACTGTACTTCGATTTTCCGTAAATGAAATCAAAAAGGTAGGGGCTAATCGATGGTACGCATTCGATCAGAAAAAGTGTAATGGTAGATGCCAACTGAAGTAAAAAGGCTAACTGCTCGAAGTGCACAACGTGAGACATGCCAAGTATTGGGGCCAAGCAGGGGGCACAGCTATAAGCTAGGGCGATTAGTATGGATATGAACACACAACTAGGCTGACATGTATCGATTCGCCGAAAGTTCATTTGGTCGGGCGGCTCCAACAAGCCTTTTATCAGGCATGAGGGGAAAAGATAGCATATTCGGAATGGCTGAATTCTAGCCGAAATTATGTATAGGCAACAAGGTTTAATCCAGTTAGTAGCACATGTGCCGAGTGACAAAGTGCGATGGATTAAGCTGGCGAGTAAGAACTGGAATAAAAGTTGGGGAAACTAAGACGAATGTATGGGCAAGAACTAAATGGATTGGAAGTGTCTGCTAGAGGGAAAGAGTAAAAGTTAAGCGCAATAGACAAGACCTGAGAACCAAATCGCCTTTACTAGTTTAGTCAAGCAAGATTTCTAGCTACTGATTTGGCCTATCCCGTAGGCATCATGCAGGAAAATGGCAAACACCGAATCGTCTGGATCTAACTCTGTGGTTTTTTGACTTATTCGCTAATCACTGTGAGATGCATCCAATAGAGAGAAGTGAACAAAGATGATGCGCACCCAGGTAGGTGGTATTCAAAGAATGCGACAATAATGAGTGCCTAACAATAAGGTATGCTAAATAGAGCAATCCTGCCAATCACAGCGCGTTTGCGGACAAAGGCTCTGACTCACCAGTGAAGGTACTCGGGATGGTGGACATGAGGCTCTTGACGTTACGCACTGGGATGCCATCCTCCTCGGACATCATGCGTTCAATCAATGACTCAATCTTCCTCCATATATAATCATTTGGAGAGTTTCGGGTCCCAGAAACCTCCAATGTATCTTTCTTGAAGTGCCTGCAAATATCGGACATTTGATTGTGACCTTGTAAGAGAATATGGTGGGTCTGAGGAGAGGATCCGGGGAGTTTGTCAAGCCCCTTCAAATTTCGCACATCATCAAAGGGAGGAGCGCGGGTGGTGCTCGGAGTAGCGGATTTTTCGCTAAACGGTGAGCAGGTTGACCGATGGATAGACACAGGAGAATCGGAGTTTAAATTAACGACAGGAGAACGAGGCGAATCGTCGGGATCGGACTTCCAGTTATTCGAAGCGGGAGTATGCATTTCATTCAGAATGTTTACCATACTCAGAGGAATCGTAGATGTCTCTGAAAGGCAACAGGTATGCAAGTAGTGGAAAATTTAGGTGCGGAAGCAACGTAAAGACAGCATGTAACGTAGAGAGAAGAGCAAAAACAATGTTAACAAAGATAACTAGACCAGGGTACATGCAGTGACACAACTGGCGGTGACATGAATGCAGACTCATGTAGACAAACAGATACCACACTTAGTATTTCAGGTGATCACCGTCATACAAGCAACAAAGTACGATTGATCCAGTGGACAGGAACCACGCAAGCACGAAGATAAGAAGAAAGTAAAAGAACACAATCAAGTGAGGACAGAACTTAAAGAGTAGAACAATGATAAGTTATCAAGATGCAAGAAGGTTCAGTTCAGTCCACGGAAAAGAGTAAAATTCGGGCACCGAATTGCGGTGGATAAAGGTGTCCCGACTCACGTCACCAGATTAACGATAAGCAACAATAATGAGAAAATGAACCTGAAAAAAATAGAGCATGAAAATGGAGTCACTAAAGTGCGCAAAACTAATCTGGATGTAATGAATGTTAACATCGAGATACGAGAATCAGAATGCAGAAACGCCACTGTTTGCGCCCTATCCGATCGAGTCCAACCACTGATATGGACCATCCCGGGGCCCTTATCCGCGAAGACAGCAAGCACCGGTCTGATCAAACCTTTCAATTGCTTCAAACTTTTAGGCCACCATTGACTGGGCACCTCGCATTTCCACTCAATTTGGTGTAGTGAAGGCGTAGAATGCATCCCGACGAAAACGGTCAGCGAACGTACAGAGGACATGACCTAACCGAGGTAAGCGGTTAAACCTTAGCAAACACGAGTTGAGCACCAGAGGGTTTTTTTTGCCGAAAATCAAATGGCGGACCTCAGCACTGCTCATCCGGTGTTCCCACCAGATGTCAGCAATACTCCATAAGCACCGGTAATCAAACACGTTCAATCGTTTAACGTCTTCAGTGCGAACTGATCAAACCTTTGACCCATAAAGTAACGTCAACCTTATCGCAGCGTCATAAACACAACCTTCACCGACAGGCAATCTCACTGGCCTAGAGATAGCTGAGTTTCTGGAAAGCAACACGGGTCTTTTTGGTATACGAAGTGACCTAAGTGATGTGAAAGGTTAAAATAGATAGAAACAATAAGCGCAAGGCATGAGCATTCTTGGCATCGCGGCTGATTCAGGCTTGAATGGACCACCAACCCTTGAGATAGTAAAACGAGTGGGCCACATTCAAGAAGATGGTATGCAAGTACCCGACCGATCGTTTCGGTGAAATTTATGATATTCGCATTACATACACGGACCGCCCGATGTTGAGCCAAATAGGATATAACGGTAGCAAACAACACCCACCGAGGAAAGCTATTGACAAGCCCTCAGAAATAGAAACTAGCTAGCATGGGACGATAGGAATCTAAAACAAGGCAATGCACCTAGTGTTCACAGAAGGACGTACATAAGGTAAAAGGTACACAGTGAAAACTGGCCGCACCGTGAAGTCCCACGCTATGCCCTCAAAAAATTGGTTAACACCCCGACAGAGTAACACAGGATCCAGGTATCGAAAAGTCACACAGGTAATACGGATAGGTGTAAAGACCATTCGGCGCTGGTCGCATGTTCACCAGACCTTACTAAAAGAAAGAAAATCCTCGTGTGACAAGGTTAATAGCCAACATAGATATCGGCTCTCTTCGCAGACTCTGGAACTTATCGATGGTCGCCGGTGAATTCCGGCTGAAAGGGAACACCATGAGACACGCAGAAAATTCCAGGCGAAACTCCGAGTTAGCCTGAAGAGAGATCGCGAATCCTGGTAGTCTCAATGTGCATCAGAGGTGGAAATGGCGGCTGTCCTTGGTTACCATCGTATTTTGTTCCGTCTGATACGGAAAACGAACAGCACAAGACCTGGTGTGAGTGAAACTATACGCGACGAGAGTGCACAGCCAAGCCACAACTTGTCAAAACGTTTGGAGCGTTGGGTTGAGCATTTTGAAAGGCAATTTAATCAATCGGAATTGTGATTTCTCGCCGGCTGCTGATCGCGCACCCCAATTGGCTGTCCCTTTGGATCCCCCCTCTCGCTCAGATACCGAACGGAGAATGGACTGTTGAAGTTGAATGCAACCGCGAGGCCAGATGTTCTTTCTCCAACCCTCTTCAACTTCGTAGAACTTGCTCTTGTGGATGATTTACACGAGTTACTAGTGAAAACGTCGGGGCAGGAATCTCTCCCAAACGACTGGAGCCGCTCCGTCATAGTCCCAATTTTCAAGGGAGACTCACGATCCGAATACGGCGACCATAAAGGAAACAGTCTGATCTCCATCGACACCAAATTCCTTGTCTCTGTCATTCTTCACAGATTGACTGGCACTCATGAAAGTCAGATTCATGAAGAGCAAACCTGGTTTCGTTGAGGTCACGGCTGCATCTATCACATCTTCACTTTGCGACAATTGCTGGAGCACCGTTACATATATTGGCGGCACACCATTGTCGTGCTCCTCGATACCAAAGTTGCCTTCGACTCGGCTGATCGATGTGCCATTTGAGACTGTCTAGTCAGGAAAGGTCTGCTCGAGAAATATGTAAATATTATCCGAGCGGTTTACGCACGTAGCTCAGGCAGAGTGAGGGCTTAGGGCGAGCTGTCGCGGCCTTTCCATATCCCAAGTGGTGTAAGGCAAGGATGCCCGCTGTCACCTTTCCTCTTCAACTTCGCTATTGACGAAGTCATGGAAATCGCGTTCACAGGACAGACTTAGGTGTGGATCTGCTCCCAGGCGAACGACTTCTTGACTTGCTGATGATATTGTCCTCATCTGTGACAACTTACCAAGGTGTCAAGCTGCACGGGACAGATTCGCACTGACTGTCCGTAACTTCGGGCTATGTTTTGCACCCTCGAAGTGCAGTGTTCCTCCAAGATTGGCCTGGACCGTCTCCATCGCTGACTCTTGGTGGGGATCAACTAGAAGTCGTACAAAAATTCAACTACCTAGGAAGTTGTGTCAGCGGCTGTGGGATTGTAGATGAGATCACGTACCGTATAGCATAAGCTCGAGACGCTTTTGCTAGCCTTCTCCACTTCTGGCGCCGGCGCAACATCACTCTCGTCCTGAAGGGTAGTTTGTACATTGCAGCGGTACGTTCGACCCTACCGTGCGGTTGTGAAACCTGGCCCTTTAGATTCACCGACTTAAAGAGGCTACTTATGTTCGACTATCAGTGCTTGGGCAGTTTGTCTCATATCTGGTTTGAACACCGTGTGAGCAATCACCGTGTTCGACGCCTTGTTTACGGCTTAGGAGAAGAAGAGGAACCGCTCAGCACCGTTACTTCACGCACCAGACTCCGATGGCCTGGCCACGTGTTACGCATGCCAACCCACCAACTCCCGCGACATGCGTTGTTTGCACGTGGGGTGTGGATGAAAGTAGTGGAGGATTGGTTTAGCGATGAGTTTAGGTCAAAAGGAATGTAGCCCCTCACTTCGAAGCTGGCCTCGGTTGGAGCGTCTCGGCTCCCTGATTGGGGTCCGAAAGACGATGAACACGTTTGGTTGAATACACTTGTTGACATGCCTAGGAGCTGATCTCAGTGGTGTTGGTGTTGTGATCTTCTTTGTCCGTCCCATCCCTCTTAGCCTCCACTCCAACCGCGATAATTTTCTAGCATACTATAAATTTTGCACGCTATGATTTTTTATCGGCACAATAACCAAAGGTTAGCTTACCGGAACGATGACCATCCGTTACTGGTAGTTCAGTTGGCGTGTATCTGTTACATTCTTTCTTTTCTTATGTATTACGACACAAGACCCGTGGTGTTTCCAACCTCCAGCTAAGGTGTATAATGGATGAATGAACGACCACCCTAAAGGCTTGAACATCAGAGTTCATCGAGTAGCAAGATAAGCGAACCGACGGGCTAATCCGTTTGCTTGATCGGTGACAGTGGGAAACGGGTAGAATGCAAAATCAATTCAGCAGCAGTGCATTCAGATTCATTATAACCATCATTATTATACAGCTCAGCTAGAGGTGGGAAGCATCACAGGTCTTGTGCCGCAATACATAAAAGAAAGGAACGGAAAAAAATGATACAGTTGCAGGCCACCTGAGCTACCGGAACGAGTGGGCATCGTTCCGGTAAGCTACCAGCCGACCAACATGCAGCAACAGAATTTACTACGCAAAATTAAACAAGGCTAAAAAGTGAGATCGTGGTAGGAGGGAGAGGCTAAGAGGGATGGGACAGACAAAGAAAATCACAACACCAACACCATTGAGGTCGGCTCCTAGCCACGTCAGCAACTGTATCCAACCAAACGTGTTCATCGTCTTTCGGACCCCAATCAGGGAGCCGAGACGCTCCAACCGAGGCCAGCTTCGAAGTGAGGGGCTACATTCCTTTTGACCTAAACTCATCGCTAAACCAATCCTCCACTACTTTCATCCACACCCCCGGTGCAAACAACGCACGTCGCGGGAGTTGGTGGGTTGGCATGCGTAACACGTGGCCAGGCCATCGGAGTCTGGTGCGTGAAGTAACGGTGCTGAGCGGTTCCTCTTCTTCTCCTAAGCCGTAAACAAGGCGTCGAACACGGTGATTGCTCACACGGTGTTCAAACCAGATGTGAGACAAACTGCCCAAGCACTGATAGTCGAACATAAGTAGCCTCTTTAAGTCGGTGAATCTAAAGGGCCAGGTTTCACAACCGCACGGTAGGGTCGAACGTACCGCTGCAATGTACAAACTACCCTTCAGGACGAGAGTGATGTTGCGCCGGCGCCAGAAATGGAGAAGGCTAGCAAAAGCGTCTCGAGCTTATGCTATACGGTTCGTGATCTCATCTACAATCCCACAGCCGCTGACACAACTTCCTAGGTAGTTGAATTTTTGTACGACTTCTAGTTGATCCCCACCAAGAGTCAGCGATGGAGACGGTCCAGGCCAATCTTGGAGGAACACTGCACTTCGAGGGTG